AGAAGTCTACCTCATACCAGTCCTCAAAAGATGCTATACATGGAATAAAATCCTAGATTAATGAGCGTGATAAGGAAGAGGAATAACAGATACCTTAAATAAAGCAAAAGGGGGGTTGAAATGAGAATTTATGGAAATTTAAAGCTTAAAGTCATCTTTTGTTATACATAAGTTACATGTTAAGAAATATCAAAGACAAACCACAGAAAGAATTTGCAACATTTGTAACAGCTAAAGGATTAACATCCAGAATACATGGAGAGCTCTCAACACGGTGGCAAAGGATATAAACAGACAATGCGTGTAAGAGAAAATCAAAATGGGCAATAAATATAAAAGATACACCTAACAAATCGGCCAAGGGCTGGCCCCCATCCCCAAAGGGAAACACCCGTGACTACGAATATTATTCTATTACAGGAGTGTTTGCCGTTTGATCAAAATTAGAAGCAAACACCAACAGTCCATCAATGAGAATGTTTTTATTCTCAGATAAAATTGGTAATCCATTCTTTGAGATGTGATCTAGCAATTTAAAAGAATGAGGTAGATACGCAGGGACTCACATGAAAAGCTCTCTAAGGTATACCATCGAGTGAAAGGGAAGTTGTGGGACAATAAAAATAATATGACATGACTTAGGAGAAAGTGGATATAAATGAGACAAAATGAAATACTTCCATAGGTAGGATGCACGCACAAATTCATTACACAGAGACCAGAAGCAAACCAGGAAGCTGTCACCAGCAGCTGGCTATGGAAAAAGGAGGAGGATGGAAGTTAATGGGTGAAGGTAATTAAAAAAATATTTATACCACTTCACTCTTTTACACACAGGAGATACTGGAACATTATCTGCGAAATTAAAAATAAAATCTGTAACAAAAAAAGAGAGTTGTAGGAGTCCTTCACTTCAAATGTGCATTTTTCCTTCTTATTTCTTTTTGAATTTAATCACGTGTTCCCCCTCCTTTCCCCCAAGCTCCTGTTTTAGGGATACAAGGAAGGGCTTACTGAACTTCTTAGATCTGAACTAGTAGTGACTAGTGTTATTTTTACACTAACTTTGGCACAGCAGCAGGGCGTCGGGTTGCAAGGTCAAGGTCTATTTTGTTTCATATTCTAGCAGGATAGGCTTCTGTTACCTCTTCAGTACTGACCTTTTTTTCTAGCCTTTCTTCCAAAATTGTGCTTAGATTCTTCTAGCTCATGTGGTTCTCGTGGCTGACGCGTCCTATGTAGTTTCTGGTGCCCACGTGGCACAGATCCAACAAAAAGTCACATCCTAAGGCAGACGCCCTCTCGAGTGTTCACAGTGCAGGGGCCCTTCTCACCTGTGACTTACAAACCCACCCTCTTCCCATAATCTACACTGTGCTTAAAATAGTCACATTCAGAAACTTGTTTTTGCTAATTACACCCAATAAGATTTAGAGAGCAAACACTGAAGCAGAAATAATTATTAAAATAAACCAGAGCTGGTACAAAGTATGAACATTGATCCCAAAGATGATATCCCTAAGTCTCTGCTCCCGCCAGCTGCAAACGCCCCGTCCATGTTTCAGTAATGCACATTTCTGCAACCTGCAAACAGTCCTTGCTAGCTTTGGTTTTTAATTCCTAAATCCTCCTGCAGTGCTGTCTGTCTTCTTGGTCGCTTCCCAAGATCCCATTCATCTATGGTGATGAATCAAAGGAGGGCTTTGGGAAAGCAGCATGTCCTTGAGAGAGGGGAAAGGCACTGCCTTGAAGTCAGTGGCTCTGGTACAAGGTCTGATGTGACCAGGACAAGAGAAGGACGTGTGTAAGACACTGTGAAACATGACCATTTCCCTCCAATGCTATTTAAAAACTCTCATAATAAATAAGGCCTTCTACAAAGGGCTTCTTCTTCTTTTTTTTTTTTGAGACAGAGTCTCACTATGTCACCCTGGGTAGAGTGCCCTGGTGTTACAGCTCACAGCAACCTCAAACCCTTGGACTTAAGCGATTCTTTGCCTCAGCCTCCCAGGTAGCTAGGACTACAGGCTCCCGCCACAACACTGGCTATTTATTTTGTTGTTGCCGTTGTCGTTGTTGTTTAGCAGGCCACAACTGGGTTCAAACCAACCAGCTCCTATGTATGTAGCTGTCGCCCTTAACCACTGAGCTACAGGAGCCCAGCCTACAAAGGGCTTCTTAAAACCACTCTGCTCACCTCCAAGTAGACGAGGCTTGCTCATCAAAACACTTAGGTATAAGCTTCACGGAACGAAGAGAAAGCATGTCAGGAGGAAGCCCCAAGGGAGAAGAAAGGCTTGTTACGAAAAATACCACGGCACGCTTCTCCACCAAGGCAAAACAGTGTGCAAAATCAAAGGATAAACTTAAAGTTATGATATATTTTCCTCTGAGAGATGGTCTCTAATGTATGTAGCAGATTCTTAAAACTATAATAATTGCCAGGAAAAAAAATTTTTTAAGTAATCCTCTAAATAGCATCATGATTGTTCGTACAACTAGCTGTGTACTTTCAAATGACATTATGCGAAAACGTGGACCAGAGGCTTGGTGTGGCCTCCTCCATTTACCCGCCCGTGTCTTCCAACAGACATTGACTCTAATACATCATTTACAGTCACCCGTTTCCTCAAACTGGATGAGTCACTTATTTTGGTTCCAGGACTGGGCTTAAGGCCAGAAAGAAAATGACCAACTTGAAAGTACGGTAAGTTTAATTTTTCTGCTGAAATCATCTCATCTTTTGGATTCTAAGATATATGACCATTGACTAAAAAATAAGAGTCCAAACTCCTCTGAATGACTGAGGGATGACTTCAGTATTTAAAAAGTGAAAAGTCACATTTACCACCTCTTGGCAAGAACTAGAAGATTAATATCCATGAAAAGAAAAATAGTAAAGAGATAACAGGAACTGCTACCAAATTACCCATTTCAAATGGTCAAAAATAGCCTGACAACTAAGAGAAAATGTTTGATGTAAAAACTTGAAATGTATTTTCCTAGATTTGAAAATAAACATGGGTCAAAATATTGGGCTCACAATAGAGCTGCAACGCCTAGCCCTCAGTCCTAAACTCTCTTTCTTAAGCAAAGAAGTATTTATGATTGGGTTTACAGGGGAGCTTAGCTGAGTTGCCATGAATTATTTAAAAACCCCAAAATATCTTCTGTTTCTTTTATAGAAACTTGATTTACAAGTTAAAAAATCAAACTGACAAGTCTGGTCTCTTACACAAATACTCAACCTTTAGAAATGCTCGAGGCCTTATAAATACATCTTTCATGAATAAAGCTTCACCAGTTCTAAAAATAGCCTTTATGAGGAGGAAAAAAACAAAACAAAACCAAAAAAAAACCTCTTACAAGGCATTGTTTTATACATAACAGCAGGAAACCAAACAGAATGTCTAAGCCAAAGTGATTAACACACCCAAAGTTAAACATGAACTTTAAGTAGGAGCTTTTACTCAAACACAATTTTAACACTAGCATAGGGTCTAAGGTTTACCCTCACATCTGTGTCCACAGATGGTTCCAGGGCACACGTATTCAGAAAGTAACTTCAGGACCACAAACCTGATATTTGCCTTTTGATGTGTAAACAGACTCATTCAGGACTGGCCCTGGGACCATTATTACTTTCCGGCACCCTAAAAGCTTCCCCTGGGATCCCAGAGTCCCGCTGTGCTATTGCAGAAGGCCAGTTCCAAACTCCTCCTCATAGCTGTAACTGAGGTTGTCCCAAAGGCAGCAGCAGGAGAGACTAAACACTGCAGGGATGAGGGCACGGGGCCCAGGCTGGAGTACAGTGGCACAATTGTAGCTCACTGAGGCCTCCACCTCCTGGGCTCAAGCAATTTTCCTGCCTCAGCCTCCAGAGTAGCTAGAAATAGGCAGGAGATATCACACCTGACTAAATTTTTTATTTCAATATTTTGTAAAGACAGGGTCTCAGTATATTGCCCAGGCTGGTCTCAAACTCCTGGCCTCAAGAGATCCTCTCACCTTGGCCTCCGAAAATGTTGAGATTTCAGGCATGAGCCACTATACTTGGCCAAGGGACCTTTGCATACAAGGTGTAAGGAGGAATTTTAAAAGAGCTAACCAGCTGGTCTCCCCTGGTAACTGTGGAGGTCCCAGGTATTCTAATGTCTTGCTATTGCTATTTTATCGGGTTTGATATGTATTTTGCATTCACAATAAACCCTATCCCACCTCTCCATAGATGAGAACTTAGGGGATAAAACTAAGCTATATTCTGTGGCCTCTAAGGTTCAACTGTAGAACCGTGGAAGTAGATCTTGAAACAATAACCACTTTCTATGGATACTCTTATCCAACTGCCCATTAAACTCCAGATACATCTATGATCAGCCGACATTCTACTTTTTAAAAATTCAACACAGAATTGTCAATTGTTTTCATAATACATGAGATACAAATTCATGGTATTGTGGCCAGGAAGCTAATTTAGGAAGAAATTCCTGAAACCTGCAGGATTATGCTAAATAAAATTTTTTCCTGATTTTCTGACAGGAATAAATTTCTAACATGGCCAAATTCCTGCCGCTGCTGGGAAAGCCCTTAAGGAACAGCACAGGGAAAAGGGAGAAAAGGAAAAGCCCAGGGGATGGTAACTGAGATCAAAGTTAGTTTGTCATTATTTGACTTCATTATGGGTGCGGCATCACTTAAATCAGCAATGCTGGTTTATTATGTTCTAAACCAAATGTAATTCACATTTCCATGTTTTTGTCCTAACAAACAACATAAGCTGAACAGAAAAATCCCAAGTATCCTAGGATATTTCAAAGTAATTGTCCTTGAAAAGTCCTAAGACATTTGAACTTTGAAGAAAAACTTTCAAATAAAGTAGAGCTTTAAATGGAAAAGGATCATCTGTTGAAATGGATATGTTCATAAAAACATGACACATAAATATTTTGCAAAGCAGCAAACAACTGGAAAACGTAAGAAAGAAACGTTTCATTTCTTACCTTGTTTTGATCCGTCCAGTAAAAGAAAAATCCCTGAGGGTCAGTCCTCAAAATAATTGGAGTAACAATAGTTGAGTCCTAGAAATGTAAAAAAAATATGCATATGACCTCGTATCACTGTCAAAAAATCTCCCCAGGAGTTACTTAAGAATTAATAATTGCTCAGAGATTCTACAAACTTGTCAATTATTAAGAAAAATTGCCCCCAAATTTGATATGGCATTTTTTAAGTTCACAGAATTATTATTTACATGACTGAGACATTTTTCCAATATTCAGAATATCTGTACATAACTTATAAAGGAAAAAGTTATTGATGTATTTATAGATTAAGGCAAGTTGACCGTGGTATTGACACGTTTCCTATTAAAAACCTATATTTCACTTTCCAAATAATTTTAATGCCAAATATCATCGCACATTTTATATCACTAATTGTAATTAAAATTGATGCCTAAGGACAGTATTTTAAATTACATTTGCACCACAGAATTATTTTTAACTGTATTAAAGAGAGTAAGCACAGCATTTGGGCATCGTTTCCCAGGTAACCATAAATTCAGCTATCTTCTACCTATTCAGAAAGATACTATGTCTATGCAAACTTAAATTTCATAGGCTAAACAAAAATATTATAGATAGTCTTCTGAGTTTAAAGCAATCATAGCATAAAGCAAAACACATTGTAATTATAGCATTGAACATTTCTAAAATGTCTGTTCATTTCTTTTAGCAATTTTCATAAAGATACACCATACAAGAAAGTACATGTCACTGGATCTAGATTTTTATTCTGAAATACTCAGGCTCTTACAGGAATTGCATTTGGTAGAAAGATACAGATTGCCAGTTTTCTCCCCAACTTTTTCATGTACATTATAACTATCACATGTCATGTCTTCTATCTGATCAAAAGAATTTATAATGAAAATTAGAACTGGCAGAGAAAAATGTGAATATGGGATGGCTTTCCTATAGGGCAGAGTTGTATTAATAGTTTTCATCTCCACGTTAAATTTATTGTAGCCTGGCTAAGAGGATTCCTTCCTCTCCTTTCTCGATGCATCACTTTACAAAGCTGAAAAAAAAAAAAAGGATAATCCTAATACCTAGAGGGTTGTGGTGAAAATTAAATAGTATAACTTGGGTAAATCACCTAGACACATGTTTCCTGCCCAAGAATGTTTATTATCAATCTAATGAATTATATTTAATAGTACATGTATCACAATATTAAATGCAAGTTTATCCTGATATTCTATTTTTTATTGTAATAAAGTGGACATAGGATAAAACTTACCATTTTTAAATATACAGTTCAATGGTATTAAATACATCTGTGATGCTATGGCACCATCATCACCATCCATCTCCAGACACTCGTTATCTTCCCAAACTACCACTTCATACGCATTAAACCCTCCCCCACCCCTCCTTTCTTCAGCCCCACAGACACCATTCTTACTTCCTTGGTCTCTGAACTTGATTACTTTAGGTAGTCGTGTAAATGGGATTGTACAGGATTTGTCCCTTTGTATCTGTATTCTGTTTAGCATATTGTCATGAAACCTCATCTATGTGGTAGGATGTGTCATAGCTCTTTCTTTCTTAAGGCTGAATAATATTCCATTTGTGTACCATGTTGTGTTATAAATTCATCTATGAGTGGACGTGTGAACGTGTGTTTCCACCCCTTGGCTATCATGAATAACTGTCCTATAAACAAGGTGGTACAGATAGCTCTCATTCCTGCTTTCAATTCTTTTCAGTATACACTGAGAAGTGGAATTGCTGGATCATAGGGTAGTACAATGTTTAATTTTCTGAGGAACTACCATCCTGTTCTATCCTGATTGTCTTAACAAGGGCTCAAAAAGGTAAGGTGCCAGCCCCATATGCTGGATGAGGCGGGTTCAAACCCAGCCCTGGCCAGACTGATTGTCTTAACATACATTATGAATATGCAGTTTGAAAGCTATCTTCCACAAGAATTATGTGGCTGCATGAAACTTCAGCTAGAATTTTAAAATTTTAAAATTACTTTAAAATGTCAAAAAAAAGACATTTGGAACCAAGCTGATAAAAGATGAAAGAATAATTTTAAAAAATAGGTTGCTTCTATCATATTACATGAATCACAGTTCATAGGAATATTAAAAAAAAACACACACGGTAATATTCTCAGTCCTGTTTTATCACCTACTCTTCTAGGGGCAGGCAAAATAAAAATTTCTGACAAGCTTCAGACATCACCCAATCCTACTTCCAGACGAATTTGGAATTAACTGTAGCTGTAACTTATTATTTTCAAGTTAGTTCCTCCTCTTTTTATCAGAGGATCTGACAAAATTCTAATCAAAATCTTGGTGGCAGTTTCCTGCCAGGATCACAGACAATCAAACATCTGAGTGAGCAGAACAACATTGCCTGAATTTTACATTTTGGAACCTTGTCCTGGACTTCCTGGTTGGTTTCAGATACTGCTATTTCTAGCTTACTCCTCCTCCTCCTTCAGAATTAAAGCTCCTTTGTTCAATATTTTCTTGACTTCACTCTTCTGATCACAGTTCCTCTGGTAAATGATCATTTATCTCGACTTCCTGGCTGCTTTCTCCATAATCACCTCAAACATTCCAAGATCAGCTGGAACTTGGCATTCTTGCCGCGCAAAGTAGGATCTGACCCAGAAATACGCGCATCTCCATTTTCAATTCCACCCGCTTTTTTTCCCACTTCCCACATACCTGCAAGTGTCTAAATTCTCCCCATACCAAAGTAGCCACTCAACCCACATCTCGGATATTCTTAATTGTCAGAACATATGCTCAGGTTAGAAATTTTATATAAAATCATTGTTCATTTCCAAGGGAACTGCAGATGGGTTGTGACTCTGGGAACGTTCTACTGCGGTATGATAAAGACAGCTCTCAGAGGGTCTGTTTTTTATTCTTCATTTCCCCAGCAATATCCATAAGACGTGTGTTCCATAAGACAATAGTTCTGATACTTTGGGGGACATGAGATTCCCTGAGAGATAGTGTTAAAACACAAATTGCTGGGCCCTTTTTCAGGAGTCTCTCATTTAGAAGGTCTGGTACAGAATCGCAGTGAGGCAAATGCTACTGTTCCAGGGCCCACATGTTGAAAATCACCGATGTGGGCCTCCCTGTACCCGGTGAGGCTTTAGGTCAGGAATACCATGACGTAAACCTCCACGAAGCACCTGTGAGCTTAGAATGTCGGCAAAACTCTATCTTGTCAGTACACTGCCTCTACCTGAGAACTCAACTTTAATTTTCTTATCTCAAGTTATGAGATATTTTTTCCAAAAAACATCTGCCTTAAAAAAGACAGAGAAGGAAAAAAAAGAAAAAAAAAAGACAGAGAAAACAGTAATAAACATACCTGTCTTAGGTTAGTAGTAGTGGATGATATAGAGTAAATTTCAATTTACTTCCCTTTATTTGACAGAAAGCATTTTACTCTCATCCCTGTATCACAAAGAGTAAAGACTAATTGTAGCAGCCCGTATAGCCTATGGCTAGGAGGAGTGAGAGTTATAAGAAATACCTGTATAGCTCAATAATGGAACACTTGGTAAAAAGGGCATGGAGGGGGATTCAGTGCTCCTAACAAGAGAGCTTGCAAGATAAGAGCAGTGGTGAATTGTAGTATCTACACCTGTGGTGTTGACAGGCATGAGATCAGCCTTATACCAGGCTGGAGGAGAAGTTAGTAGGGAGCGTGCCCATTCTACCACGGACCCGCTTACTCGGACTCTTGTATCCTCTCCTGCCTGCAGAACGCCAGCGTGGCATCTCTCTGCTGAAGATTACCAAGCTCTGCTAAAGACTAAGATCTGTCTAGTCTAAGACTGCTGTATTCTAAGACTCTCTCTCCCTCTCTCCTGCTTAAGTAGATAGACCTCAGGCACCTAAGAGAAATTGTTCCTGAGCAAGGTAGCTTAGCAGTCCACATCCTGAACCGAGTTAAGCTGGCCCAAGACCTGGCCAGTCCCAGGCCCTGACAAGCGATGGCAGGAGTGGGATGTGACAACTAATATAATAATTAAGAAGCTTCTGTTTTGCAATTTACATGTATCTCTGAAGAGTCTATAGATCAAATAAAGAATGGTCAAGGAACAAAGCAAAGGGCCTTAACAAAACCTCCAACATTCAAAAGCATGGCAAAAATTTAATCACTAAGTGTAGAGTGTAAATGTCTTAACACAATAATTAAGAAAGTGCGGTGACGGCTATGTTAACCAGTTTGATGAAAGTGTTTCAAATTGTATACAAAACCAGCACCTTGTACCCCATAAATGCATTAATGTACACAGCTATGATTTAATAAAAAAAGAAAAAAGTGTCTACTAGGATCAACACTAACGAAGTCCTATAACTCTTCATTGTAATGGTTTGTTTATCAACACGATAAAGAACCCTAAAGAAACTGAGGAGATGGTGCTGGGTGAACTGGCTGGCAACCTGTAGAAGACTGAAACTAGACCCACACCTTTCACCATTAACTAAGTTAGACTCTCACTGGATTAGAGACTTAAACTTAAGACATGAAACCATAAAAATACTAGAATAAAGTGTAAGGAAAACACTTGAAGAAATCGGCCTGGGTGAACATTTTATGAGGAGGACACCCCAGGCAATTGAAGCAACGTCAAAAATACACTATTGGGACCTGATCAAACTAAAGAGCTTCTGCACAGCCAAGAACACAGTAAGTAAGGCAAGTAGACAGCCCTCAGAATGGGAGAAG